ATATATTGCTCAAAAACTAATCAGCACGTCTCCTAGTAATTCCAAATCATCCTGCAAAGTCAGAATTTGAATTGAGTTTTTGGAAGAAGATTTATCGTGTTAACAAAGTAGCCATAAGAAAACCATATATTTATTGCCTAAAACGATAAAAAATAAAATTCACATACTGTTGGCGCTGCATTCTATGCAAACTTGTTTTCCGTTGCAACGGGATAAGTGGGAAGTATACGCTTATTACATAGAATGTAGCGCCAACTATACGTGAATTTTATTTTTTCATCATTTTAGGCAGAATTCTTATCGCTTCTTTGGCAAAACGCCACAGGACACAGGTCATAGGACACAGGACACATCACACACAGCGACGCACATTAATATGCCCCAAAATCATCTCTAATCGTGTTTTCTACATGAAATATGCATAGAAGACATGTTTTGGGGTGACTTTAATTTTTTGGCCTAATACAATACCTTTCCTACATTAGGTGTGCGGAAAAGTAAAACACACTTAAGTTTGTTATTGCAAATTCTGCACTCAGTTGTCAATCGTAGCTGCTTGTGCAGTTATTTTTATGTATTTTTTCTCTCCGTTTTTTACAAATCGCCTTAGAGTATTCTGGGCAATTAAATGTTTGTTGCCGTAAATCTAGAGATCACAGGTCGTTGTTGGATTGAGTGGTGTCGAAAATGAAAAAAAGGATTATGACATGAATATGGGAGAAAATACAATAAAATATCTAAGTTTTTTTTAATTTGCTTTTTATTTCGATTCAATTTTTAGATTTATATGATATTCAGGATTGGCCATTTGAGATGCAGATATGTTCGCTCTAATGGTTTGGACATAACATTTAGTGTGGTACGTTGTAATCGTAACCGCTTGATTCGGAGAAAGAAGCGGCAGCTGGTGCTGAGTATGATTGTTGTGGGGCTATTCAAATAAATTCAAAATAGTAAATTAATTTAAAATGTGCATATACAACGAAATATTTTGTGATTTTCTTGTAGAATGAACAAATCGAAAAAAAAGAATAAAAAGGTTGAAATGAAACTCTTTTTACCTGGGGCTGAGTATTGTGGAGCAGGGGCTGGGGCTGAGTATTGAGGAGCAGGGGCTGAGTATTGAGGAGCAGGGGCTGAGTAATGAGGAGCAGGTGCAGGGGCTGAGTAATGAGGAGCAGGAGCTGGGGCTGAGTACGATTGTTGTGGAGCTATTCAAATAGAAAGAGACGTATTTTTGTTAATAAAATAATAATTTGTATTCATTGGTGCATTCAAGTTAAGATACTACTAATGTAGTTTTCTTTTGGAATTCAATAGTATCTAACCTGCGGCTGGTGGCAAGTAGCTTTGTTGGGGTTGTGGTGGTGGTGGAACATATTGTGGCTGTTGGATGAACATTAGAAAATTAGAAATTGTTAATAAAAGAAATGTGTATGTTGATACTTACTGCTGGAGCAACAGGTGCTGGAGCATGATATGGCTGGTTTGGAATAAATTGAAAAATTGGCAATTAATAAAAGTGTCAGCTACAAGATTGTTGATTTAAACAGCAATTCAAATTCTAAGCTTCTCTGCTCAATTTTGTGCTTTGAATCAATGGTTTCTACTCTGGATGTTGTAAATTATAACAATTCTTTATTGGGAATGTAGTTATATTTAGCAATGATATGTTAAAACTGAACTTTTTCTATCAAACGCAAATGTTTCACGGAAATTTCGAAGAAAAGAAAACATTAAAAGGATCGATTTGCTCTATTCTATCACTATTGAAGATAAAAAATAAAATATATTTTGATTGCATTGGAACCGAAAGAGAATAGAACAAGATGATTATAGTCTTTGGTTTTCGTGAGACAGAGAGTTATTATTGGATTTAATTAAATTCACCAAAGGTCAGTCATATTCAAGAGAATTAGGAAGTATTCCGTTCAAAAGACACCAAAATGTCGCACATGGTTTTGAATCGAATGACCTTTTTGCCTCAAACATTTCAATATTAAATAAGAACGCTTTATTTTAATAGCTCACCTGTGGTGCTGGAGCGCTTGGTGGCAAGTAGCTTTGTTGGGGTTGTGGTGGTGGTGGAACGTATTGTGGCTATATGGAAAATTACAAATTATTAATGAAATTGAATGATTTATCTTGAAAATTCGTCATTTCATTCAATTGCTGATACTTACAGCTGGAGCAGGAGCTGCATGGTGTGGTGCCGGTTGTGGATAGTTGTATCCACCGCCTCCCAAATGTGACACGTCAGCGCTGACGGCAGCAATGAAAGCCAAAGCCAAGAAGAATTTCTACAAGACACAATAGCAACACCAACATTATATTAATTATTCACTTTCACATCACGATCGCATCGTTTGAACACCGCGGTGTGCTCAAACTTATTTTTTTTACTTGTTCTTTTCATTTCAAATGAAAAATGGAAAAACTCACCATTTTTGTAATATTTGATAGTTCCGTACCACTTCACTTGAACGAATGTGTTCGAATGATTTGCTCTGCCACTAGAAGCATCTTTTATACTAAAATTTTTAACGCCCAAATATCGGAAACCGGTTAATTTATACCATCAAAGCTGATATCAAATTAAAAAAAGTGGCAAAAAAAGTAAATCAAAAGATGCGATGAAAAGATAAATAGTGTCTAGTCAATATTGCTCAATAGTTTTAGCAAAATTTGCATCAAACGACGTTGTCAAACAGCTTGTGAATTGCAAAAAACGCATTTTTTGTTTGAATTTATGCAGATTTGTTTGTTTTTGTTTTATATAGTATAGATTTTTTTAATTTTTTCGTCAATGCGGAATAAAATTAACCATGGCAACCAAATGAAATAGATAAAAACTATTAACTAACTAGAGAATAACGAGAGCAAAAAAGTTGATCTGTTAGTGTCACTTTGTACTGCTATCTGTATGTATGAGCGAAATTAATCAAATGATCGTTACCATTTTTCCGCGATAATAAATTAATATCATCGAAATTTTTTCCGTCCAAATCAATTTTCCGTAAAAATACTGGAATTGCCCAAAATTATGGTTCTATAAACATGTTTGGGTTCTGTTGGGTTTTTGCTACGTTCCATCTCACCTTTTTATTTTTTTTTTTGTTTTGGAATATATATTCAATTGTTTTGTCATTTCACCGTAATAAAACGGCGAACTTGTGAAAGTATGGGGTTTTATGTGAAAACAGAGTGGCACATAGTCCGTGTTCATATAAGTTTTCACCAGACAATATATTTGGATTTTGTCATCTGGATATTTCAGCTTATCTGGATAACGTGAGGAGTGAAAACAATAGAAGTGATTGTTGTATTGTATAGCATACATGGGCACAGCGCACAGGGGGTGTTAGCCCGGATAACCCCCCCTTAAATCGTCCGAGGTATGAGCTGAAATATCCAGATGACAAAAACCAAATATATTGTCTGGTTTTCACAAGTGGTATGCGATTTTATAGGTTTGTATAATTTCCTATGCAGAGACTAGAAAACGCTACCGCTGTAATTATTATTACTGTAGCGGTAGTGTTTTCTAGAAAATGTTGCAACATGGTGAGTGTATTTTTAAGGCTATAACGATTATATTCTATTTTCATGTGTGAATTTTCATATTATCACATTTTCGAAGCGGATTTCAAACTTCATTTTTTTGTAAGTACGTGCTTCGGAGGGCATATTAAGCAGTCAGTCTCGTGTGTGTGACAACAAAGACATGAGAAGACATCAGCGCAAACACGTAAAATAGAACCCAGCGCCATCAAAACATGGCAGAATCATAATGTAGGATACAATCGACTAATCACCGATATGAATCCCTATCTGAAGTCCCTATGCCCCACTAGGAGTTAAATAAAAAAAATCCATATGAGTTGAAGATCTTATTCGAGGTTCTGTTTTCAGGTGTTTTTTTTTCAGAATGATTAAGTTCAGTGATATGATCATAACGTCAAAATGATTCCATCAAATATTCACCAAGATGTTTTTGCTCCGCCGTACTTTATTTCATTGTATTTTCGGGAATATTTTGAACAACATACAAATTTGCACATCGTCGTACTCAAGCCGTTCATTTACATGAACTATTGTGATATTGATACATTTGGTTTATTTGAAATTGACAGTGTGCACAAGTTCAGCAGTATTTGTGCTGTTATGAATATTTCTCATTTGAAATATTGTTATGTATCTTTGTCTCCCTCCTTTTTACACATCGCCTTAGAATAGCCTAGTAAATAAAACTTTTTCAACAAAAAAAAAACAATTAATCGCATCTCGGTGGTGGATTGTTGGTGACGAAAAGAAAAACGGATAGCGAAATTTGTTGGATGGTCATCGATATAAAATTTCAAAAAATCGTTTATTGCTCTAAATTGTAGATATTATGTACAACAATTATCATTGGCTTCAAAGACTTCCCGGTTGGAATCTTTCAGATCTGATGATTTACATGATTTGTATTCTTTGATAGTGTTCGAATTTCGTGTAAACATTTTCCGTATTTAGATGTTTTCATTTTTAGAAAAGCCAAGTTTCATGAAAAAGATCTACAATCTAGTAAAATAAACGATATTTTGAAATTTGACATCGACCAGAATTTCACTATCCATTCAATGCGTTAACCATTGAAATTAGATAATCAAGAAAATTGCCATTGAATACGAGAGAAGACACAATAAAATATCTGAGTTTTTTTTAAATATGCTTTTTATTTCGATTCAATTTTTTGATTTGTATGGCATTCAGGATAGGCCATTTTAAATATACTCGCTTTAATGGCTTGGGGTGTTGTAGACGTAACCTTCTGATTCGGAGAAGGAAGCGGCAGCAGGGGCAGCAGCTGGTGCTGAGTATGATTGTTGTGAGGCTATTCAAATAAATTCAAAATCAAAATAGTAAATTAATTTAAAATGTGAATAATAGTAAATTAATTTGTGTGAACAAATCGAAAAAAAAAAGAATAAAAAGGTTCAAATGAAACTCTTTTTACCTGGGGCTGAGTATTGTGGAGCAGGGGCTGGGGCTGAGTATTGTGGAGCTGGGGCTGGGGCTGAGTATTGTGGAGCTGGGGCTGGTGCTGGTGCTGCGTACGATTGTTGTGGAGCTGGGGCTGGTGCTGAGTATGATTGTTGTGGAGCTATTCAAATAGATAGAGACGTATTTTGTTAATAAAATAATAGTTTGTATTCATTAGTGCATTCAAGTTAAGATACTACTCATCAACGGATCATCTTTGCCTAGATATATGCTTTGCAGTGCTGACGCTCTGTTGCTTGCATACACTCCAGTGTATGAAGGAACATTGCGACGGTGCTGTGTTGTGTATGACGTATAACACATTGAATACACAGGCATGAATATATATGTCATATATATCTAGGCAAGGATGAATCGTTGCTACTAATGTAGTTTTCTTTTGTAATTCAAGAGTAATCTAACCTGGAGCAGGGGCTGAGTATTGTGGAGCTGGGGCTGGTGCTGAGTACGATTGTTGTGGAGCTGGTGCTGGTGCTGAGTACGATTGTTGTTGAGCTATTCAAAAATAAAGAGACGTGTTTTTGTTAGTAAAATTATCATTTGTATCGAATGGTACATGAATCTGCAATCAATTGGATTTTTTTAAGTTTAATCTAGGGGGCGGACACCATTAGATAATTTTTTATAGTCCATGTAAAACTGGCAAAAACTTATAAAAAAAACTGGAAAATTAGCCATAAACTAGGAAACTAGCATTGGTGTCTCTCCCCTAGAGTTTAATCGCAAGTTTATATTTTATTTACCTGGTGCTGAGTAAACTGGAGCAGGGGCAGCTGGAGCTGGTGCTACTGGAGCTATTTTAAGAAGCAAAAGACGTTTCTCCGTTAATAAAATAATCATTTGCAGTGTTTCCACAAGATATCTGTAAACGATCAATTCAACTAGATATGATCGCAGCACACATTTGGGCTCTCATATTTGGCTGAATTATCGTTTTCAACTATCTTACGAAAACTGAGGTCGATATAAGAAACACTGATCATTTGTATTCATTGATTTTGGAATTCAATGGTAAATCTAACCTGGTGGCAAGTATGTCTGTTGTGGTTGTGGTTTAGGTGCTGGTGCTGGTGCAGGTTGTGGTGGAACATATTGTGGCTGTTGGATGAACAAAAGAAAATATTAAATTATTAATAAAACAGAAAAATATGCATGTTTATTTTGAACATTCTATTCAACTGCTGATACTTACTGCTGGGGCAACTGGTGTTGGAGCATAGTGTGGTTGTGGTTGAGGGGCGGCTGGTGCGCTTTGTGGTGGCAAGTAGCTTTGTTGGGGAGCTGGAGCTGGAGCTGGAGCTGGAGCTATAAATGTAAAAGAAAGTGTTTTTGTTAATAAAGTAATGAATTGATGCATTTGAAAATTTTCTAATGGCATAATTTATCAACGAGTGCTAGTTATTTTGCGTGAATCGTGAATAGGTGGTAGTTTAAAAGTTGTCTTTTAAATGCTACAAACGATGTGTCACGAAATGTGAGTATTACATTATAGAAACAAAAATATTTTGGCACTTTGACAACAAGTTTTCCTATTGTCGCTATAAAGCGTTTGCATTGATTATTGCAATGTTATTTCAAACAAATAGATTATTTACCTCGTTGAACTGGTGCTGGTGCTGATGCGACTGGTGCTATTTGAGGAACAAAAATTGAGGAATAAATGTCTAATTTCCTTCACTAATTATTAATTTCTATCGCATTTTAATTAGTTTTTTTGTTAGGAATTTAAAAATTATTTACCTGGAGCTGGGGCAGCAGGAGCTGGGGCATAATGTGGCTAGTTTAAAATAAATTGAAAAAAGTTTTAATATGTTCTCTAAGGCAATTAATAATATCGGTTTAAAAAAAACGCGATTTAATTTTGATTTAAAAGTTCCATGATTTGTTCACTATGGTGAACGAAACATGATAATTTCTATTTTGATACAAATAACTCGTATTTTATAAACATTTGAATTTTTTCGACGAATTTTCAAATAACAAAAGGTCACAACGATCATATCGTCTCAAAGTTTGGATAATAAAATGTTAATCGCTTTTTTGAACCTGAAGTCGAGTGAGCTTGATGTTGCATTGATGATTTATAATACAAACACCATATTGTGTATGTATATACATTGTTAAGTGTAACAAACCAACACTTCATCCATTTTTCAAACATTTCATGCAGAAATGATCAGTTACAAGTATTTACTCTTAAGAATTAAATGTGGTTTTTTTTCGAACAGAACAAGATTTTTGTTATTCAATTCAGACCATATACTGAGCATAGATATTTATCCGAAATATTTTGTGAGTATCCGATAATTAATGCAACACTCCATGCATTATTGCTCCTTCTAAACGAACTGTGTACAAGACTTGAATCGACGTGTTTGACTTAAACACAATTCGTTTGAAGGAGTAATAATGCACAGATCGACGTTCATGCTTACACACTAACCCATTGTTTTCCTCGTTTGTCAAAAATGTACGAGCGAGCATCTTTGTGTGAGTATAAAGCACAGCACATGCGTCTCACACAGACTTCGTTTAGAAGGAGCAATAATGCATGGACTGCTGCGTTAATTATCGGATTCTCACAAAATATCTCGGATAAATATCTATGCTCAGTATATGGTCTGATTTAATTAAATTCAAAATAACACCAAACGTCGCACATGGTTCGAATTTGAATGGTTTTGTATCGATTTGTTTTGACCACTTTGCTTCAAGCATTTCAAAATTGTTTAAATGAAGACAATTATTTTTCTATTGAGCAACTCACTTGTGGTGCTGGAGCGCTTTGTGGTGGCAAGTATGATTGTTGTGGTTGTGGTGCTGGTGCTGGTTGTGGTGGAACATATTGTGGCTTTAAGATGATGAAAAGAAATTTAGAAATTATTAATAAAAGAGCCAATAGCAGCTAAGTCGATTAAAGTTGTTTATTTTTCATACAATTTCCAAAAATCTAGTCGGCCGATTAATTTGGGACATAAAATCGTTAAGAAATTGACTACAATCTTCTTGTTTTGTACCAAATCATTTGTAATAAAAACATTTGGGCAGTCAATAACATCTCAAAATAACTGGCTGAATTTATTCCACATGTTTATGTTTACTTTGAAGATTTAATTTTGTTTAATTGTTGATACTTACAGCTGGTGCTGGTGCTGGTGCTGGAGCTGCATTGAATGATGGTGATGGTTGTGGATAATTGTAACCAGTTGATCCACCTTGCAAATGTGACACGTCAGCGCTGACGGCAGCAATGAAAGCCAAAGCCAAGAAGAATTTCTAAAAGACACAATAACAACACCAACATTACATTAATTATTCACTTTCTCATCACGATCGCATTGTTTGAACTCGTTGTGTGATCAAAATTATTGTTTTTACTCGATCTTTTCATTTTAAATGGAAAACGGAAAAACTCACCATTTTTGTAATATTTGATAGTTCCGTACCACTTCACTTGAACGAATGTGTTCGAATGATTTGATCTGCCACTAGAAGCATCTTTTATACTAAAAAATTTGAACGCCAAAACATCAGGAACCGGTTGATTTATCCCATCATAGCTGATATCAAAATATAAAAAAAGCCAAAAAAAAGTAAATCAAAAGATGCGACGAAGCATAAATAAACAGGCTGAAGCATAAATGGTGTCTAGTCCATCTTGCACAATAGTTATAGCAAAATTTTCACTAAACGACGTTGTCAAACGGCTTTGACTTCATGATACTCTATGAAATTAATACAAAATCTACCTGTGAATTACGAAAAAACGCATGATTATGTTTGGATTTATGCAGATTTGCTCGTTTTTATATCTCCGTATATATTTCGTTTAATTTTTTCGTCGATGCGGAATAAAATTAACAGTGATACATTAGGTTATCATACAAAAAAGGTAAAGAATATTAATGAGTAGAAAAGAGTGCAAAAAAAGACGAATATTTTCAATGTCATTGTGCGTGTGTGTATGCTAAATGAACAAAATGAACAAAATGATTGCAAACACTTTTATGAACTAATCATGAATGAATGTCAATGGTAGGCATTTTTTTGTTATTAATTTGTTCAAATGTTTGTATTTTCGGTAAATAAAAAGACGTTTATACCAGCTCAGTCCTCAAACAGTCTGTTAAATTTAACCTTTGAAAAAAAAAACACCATCAGTAAAAAAGGTGATGATTACAAAAAGTCTGTGTGAGCTGACCGAGCTGAGTTGTAATTAAGTAAAATCATTAATAGATTGAAACGAATCTGACCATTTATTATGTTTCCAAGATGTTTTCATTGCTGCTTGGCAAAAAAACGATTAATCACATACGATCAATTTAATTCGACTCGTTTGGCGGATTGTGTCTGACAAAAGACAAACAAATTAATTTAAAAACGATCGTAATCCGATAACCTGAACCTTGTTTCCGTATATAAAAATAGAAAAATGTTCTATGCCATTAAAATAAATTGATAAATTGCTGAAAAAAAGGAGAGAGAAAAAAAACTACCAAGTAAGATCTTTGGCTTTTACTAGTGTGAGATCATCCAAATGCCAAATGTATACGACCGATTCGAGTCAAATACTATAATAATGCATTGCAAATATCCTCATAATACGTGAAACAAATTCAAGTGCACCCCAATAAAATAGTTCAACGACGACAACGATGAACACCAATATCACCAACACAACGACGAATAAAATGCAAAACACTGCTTTCGAATAAGCGGAACAGTAAAGAGAAAAAAAAATCATATGCTCCGATTTCATTGTGCGCTGCAACATTGCACTTGGAAAATGTATGTGATATGCATGGATGTGTGCATATGATGGTATTGCTATTGAGCATGGAAAAAAGGACATGGGCACGAGAAATCGTGTAAATGGCGTGTGCACTTGTTTGGTGTGCTGCATCGATGTAGTTCAATTCGTCGTCGGTTTGCATGTGTACTTCCACTTTTGAACATTTCCTTGATTACATATACATAAATATTCCTACATAACGCCACAAAAATCAATAGTATTCTAGTTGTGTATGCTGTTTTTATTCTCTTTACGCTCTCTCTCTCGCTCGCTTTTTGTACGCTCGACTCCAGCGTTTTGAATTGTACATTAATACTGACTGTATGGATTTATGTATCCTATTTTTCAAACAACGCATTTAGGTCAACCTGTCTCTTATGTGTACAATGTACATATAACTTTATCGACACATATACAATTTATCCATATACCAATGTACAAGTACATTGCATTATATTGTGTGTATGGATACACACGCCAAAATACGCAATTTATCACGATTGTTAAATTGTTCAGTGATTTTGTTGCGTTATCTCTTCGTTTTCACAAAATGTTTAACGTCACGTTTGCAACCATTCCTCACGAGTAATTTGTGTAAATTGCACACAGTATATATATATATATATATATATACTATATATGTGTGAGTGTGTTTGCTTCTTGCGGTCGATTTTGTAAATGGAATGAGTGAGCTTGAAACCGATAAGAAACCACTCCAATTAGCGAAAATATTTGAGACTTAGCTACAGGCATATTATATGCATATCGGATTGACGACGAAATTATAGTTATCATCCTTCTAACAGTTTCAATGTGTGATGGTGTCAGTTATACCATGGCTGGTTATCCATTGCTAAGTAGAACTCTGAGATATTGGAATTTTGCATATTCAAAGTTTGCCAATTTCAAAGCATACACAGAACTATTTGACCTAAATTGAGAGAATGCTCTTAATATGCTCATATTCTTCAAACACATTTTTCCAGAGCATAATCTCTTCGCACGAACCATTTGGACCAATTGCAAATTGAACCACCATTGAAATTTGACAATGATGTATAAACATCACGTCATGAAAAATAAGCACCTAAATACATATTCTTATCGTTTTCGTTGCTCACTTTTCTATAGATATAAAGTTTTAACAATTTTTTTTTTGGCAAAATTCATAAGAAATAATTAAATATTATTTGACGCACAGATGTCACAACGTTGCCTTGTTATAATATGTAAATTTTATGCGTTGTTCAATTTTATTGAGTTTTGTTACATTTTACTATATTTCGATTAATTCAATCCAAATTTATAGGCGGTCGATTAATATTCGGCCAATGGATTGAGTAAGCGGTACAATATTAAAAGCTGTTCAGCAGCTAAATCTGAGAAGAAAAAAAAAGATAAAGAGAGACGATCAAAACTGCGTTAAAGCATAAAAATGTTCATGGATCCAAATGAACCCAGAGCTATTAATCAATGATGCAAATGTAAAACAAAAGCAAGCGGCGACATTGGACGAGATGAAAACAAGGAACGAGAAGAAATATAACGTTATTGATCAACTCGTTGGGCAACTTTTTGTATGTTACATCATTCAAAGCCGTGTATTCATTCAAATCAGTGAACAAATCGATGATTTCTTTTGAGCGGATGATAAAACTGCGTTGCTCTTTTTTCTCTACACAAATATGGAATATTATTTACACACTTTAATGTAAAGGAAAAATTAAATGTTTTAAATTTCAATGGTTTTTAATAAGATCTCATATGTGTGCAATAACATATATAGATGTGTGACCGCATGCCACACATTCTTGGATCTAGTGGTGTGTTAAATCTTTCTTATTCTTAAAAGAAATTCTATCTTGTTTTGTTTAAATCGTGATCGAACAGAGACTGCGTAATATTTATCTGGGTCATAAACATCATTCCATTTGTTACGAATGTACACATCCATGTCCCATTGAATGCATTTGCCCAGCATTGCCAATACCAATGCATCGTCACAATGCATACGCAGCATTAAAAATCAAATGACATCCAAGAATATAGTACATTTTCACACACAACGAGTATGTGTACATAAGCAGCAGCGACTACGGCTATGACTACGACTGCAACAGAGCGACCAACCGACCGACAATTTAAAAAGAGATAGAGAGAGAGAGACTCCATCGAGTAGCACACATGATATGTGCAACACCCTTTGCCAGCGACGACGATGACGATAGAAATAGAACCAAATGAAAATTAGAACATCAACATTGAATAAATCCATTTCGATATAATCAATTGAATGTCGGGCAGCGAGCAGCTAATGCAACCATTCACTTCCCTATGCCATCCAACCATCCATCCATGTATGATTTGAAAATTAATTTAGTATTTCAAATGCGTATGCATTCCACTTTGACCATAATTATCATTTGCATTCAAAGCTAATGTGAATATCAAATATGCGATGCCAAATGAATTCAAAAAAAAAACCAAAGAGAGTGAGAGAGACGAGATGCGAGAGAGAGAGAAAGATGAAAGAGAGTACAAAAAAAGGAGAAAAAAATAGAATAAAATGGCCATTTAACTACCGTGTTTGAACATTCAAACTGAATGGATTGAATGATGCGTTGTCTTACTAATTGCATCTGCAAAGTGGCAAAATAGAAAAGCATATTCGATCCATTTCCCGTGCAATTCACATGCTATGGCTATATGCATGCGTTTATGCGTGTTGAGGACTCTTACGAGTTTGCCAGCTGTTTGAAATTCAGTTCATCTGCAACACTATCCGATTTGAATACACAGTCGCATCGCGCGTCCAAACGACCATCAACTACACTCGTTAAACATGTACACGGCGTGCACACAAATGAAATATCAAATCGAATCATATCTACGTTTGAATACTCATGCAAAAGCAAACGAAGAAAGAATGAAAAAAAAAAAACAGAAATACATGAAATAAGTTCCCCCTTTTTCTTAGATAGCTTCGTTGACTGGCAGCGACACAATATGCAATATTATTATATGCGTACGTTTATCGTTTACCACACGAATTTATATACATATCTCTCTCATTTTTTTCTCTATCCCAGTTCACAGTCATTTCGGCGATGATGAGCCGATTTCGTATGGTTTGCGTTGCTGCCAAAAGAATAAATCGATACACTTATGTGTAGGTCAAAATATGTATTTTTGCCCTTATTCTTAACATTTCGCTGTTTGCGTTCAGTTATAGTTATCAACGGCGACGGCAACGAAGACACCATTTTATGGGGGTTTCTTCTTTCTTCTTGCTTTGTTGTCTGATTCTTTCGATTTGATTTTGGCTTGCTGACATGCTTCTTGGGCCCAACCACATCGATGCCGTGCAACCCATACCAATAAAATTCACATAAAAACTTTAATGCCGAGGAAAATAAATGGGAAAATTGAATGTGTCCATGATGTGGATCACTGAAAGACGCGCGCTTACAAATACATAAGAGACAGGCCCAAGTAACAGATATACTAGGTATACTGATGTGATAGTGCACATGTAATAAAAAAAAATAGAGACCTACATTTATGCACACGCATTTGGGATGTGTTGTCAAACGCGAGGGTTATGGCAACAAGCAAACGTTCCGAATTACACATACACACAGCTATTGCATAAAATTATTCACTTGCACACACATTCGCAATCTCTACCAAGACGCGAAACATAGACACGGTTCGTTCATTTCGAATCAAGGCAGCGCGATTTCCGAATTATGTTTCAGGTATGGTGTTTCACAAAAACGTGAAAATGCCTCATCTCATTTTATTGTGAATTTGTGAAAAGTTGTAAAAGCATTTTAACATTACTGACAAAGAAACTCTGATGCACGGCATACTCAGCAAGATGTTTTAAAAGAAAAATTTGTTTTAACATAAATCATCCATCGAGCGAATACACTAACAGTAACAGCAACAGCAGCAAATGAGATGAGACAAGCGAAAAAGAAAAAAAATTACCACCGAATGTGAACCACTTCTCTTTTCGCTATTTGATGGTGGTGCTGTTTTCATCTCTTCTTTGCAAGACTAGTTCTTCTTATTCAATTCAACATTTACCCTATTTTCGTGAATATCCGCTCGCGATGATATACATAATATAAAATGAAGTTCTCTTTTAAAGGCTACGTGCAAATAAGTGTAGTAGTGGTATTTTTTTTTGGCAAATTGTGCTAAAATAGACAATATACAGGCATATAGATATGGATTTTGGTATGAATATGTATGTATGGTTTAAATTGCAATCATAATCGGTTTGATGTACAAGCGTTGCTAAGCGTGTGACTAGCAACGCACCATACAAAGAGGCTCTCCATCTCTCGCTTTCTCCTTTCATTTCATTTTCTTTCCCGTTTTATTTTCCGCTCTCGCACAAATTCGATAGCGCCAAGCAACCGATTCATCTTTGTATTGTAGTGATTGCTTCGTAAATTTTTCGTTAATGTACTCTAGCAACAGACCTATAGAAATGTATGGAAGAAAACGAACGACAAAAAGAGTGTGAATCATCAAACTATTGGATTGGCACACTGTTATGTGCATATGTATCCGTGTGGTAATCCTTCTCTCATTCACTCTCTCTGTCTCTCTCTCTCTCTCTCTCACACACACACACACAATACGAGGAAAATATTCAGAGATATTGCACACACAACACAGAAAAAAATATATATACAGAAATTGATCGATGTGCATTGTTTGCCTATTTTATTCACGTTCAATTCAAAATCGTACGGCTACTTGCCTAGCGAACGCGTCGCGTCCAAAGCAAGTTTTTCCTATCCAAATACGAATTTTCTCCGATGCGACTGTATACGATGGAGTGAAACAAACACATCATGACAATGGGCCACAGCGTTCGAAAGCGACACGAAACCATGGCACGATGTACATCGCATCACATTTCAATCGTAATACAGGAATCGAGAGAGAAATCTAAGTGCGAATAAAGTGCACAGGCATCAAACATATATCTATGTATATGTATAATATACATAATGCGCACGCACACAACGACAGTATAACCATCGCTTTCTTTCTTGCTCGCGATTCAAATGAGAGAAGAAAAGTGAGCCAGAGAGAGAGAGAGCGAGAGAGGGAGCAAAAGAAAAAGAGTGAGCGACAGAGTTAGAATGAGAATAGAGAGTGTATAATATGTGTGTAATGTACTATGTAGTGAGTGAGAAGCTTCTCTCTCCCTGTCTGTGTATGGATGGATGAAAATATTCGCGCAGGCACACTGCATTGAAATGTGTCGACATGAATTGCCGTTGCGATGTTTGCCTGCGTTTTTTTATGATTATTATTATTATATAGAGTATATTCCGTCGTTGTTGCCATTCGTTAATGTTTCATATATACACAATGATGTGGTGTTGTTCTACTACTAGTTCTCGTGTTATTGTTATTGTTGTTTGATTTCTCTCCTGCTTTGTGTGTATGATCTTGGGTAGAAAGAAAATTTTCCCAAAATCGGATCAGTTCGTTATTAACCTTTGAAAATATCAATAGAATAGCAATTCAACAGAACAACAAAAACGTCGACATTTGTGTAAATGACTTTACCTCAACGAAAAGAGAAAAAAAAAAATCAGAAACATGAAAATAAATCACATTTACATCAGTTTTTCGGGTTTTTCATTTTGATTCGCTGATTTATCTTAATAGAATTAGAAACAAAAAGTAAATGGTTTTTTTTATTCGCGACTATAGCGGGAGTGAAAGAGAGGAAGAGAGAGGAAGATAAAGAGAATGAGATGAACATGCAGAGGAAAATAAAAGAAAAAAAAATAATTTTCTTCTGAATTTTTCAGTTCATGTTTTCTATTGTGTTCGTCGGTGATTTTGGTGAATTCTTGGTGTGTGCTTGTGTATTGTGTCGTCGTTTTTTATCACGAATATTTGTGATTTTGACTCTTTAAATTTTATTATTGGTATGAAAATGTGAATTGAAGCAACAGACACTATTCTAATTTGTCGAGCTGTGCAAATGTGTGAGCTTGAAAAAATCGAAAGAATAAACAAACAACAGAGAGAAAGTGAGAGATAGAGCGAGAAAAAAAAAGAAAAGTACGCAGTGTGAAGTTGAACATGCATATACATTTTTATCCATTCTTTTAATACATAAATATTCTCAGCCATTCGCTGACTGGTGGCTATTGTTGTTAGTGGTTGAGAATTGATTACAGATTTGGTTGTTTCGTGCATTTGGGCATCGATTCGATGTTGTTTAAATTGCATGTCCTGTGAAACGAAGACGCAACTCGACAGCAAATTTTTGTTCGTCAAATTGTAACCGAATATTAATATTCTCAATTTCACCGCGTTTGTGTGTGTGTGTTTCTGTGTGTGTATGAGTTTTTGTAAAAATAAGAACAATTCTTTTTTTCTAAATAAATAATGTCACCACATCGTTGATAAACGATTATCCGTATAAATTATTTGTTTGATAAAATAAGGACAGGTAATCAAATTGTCTGGGCATAATGGGCCAGAATGATGTTCAGTGTGTAGTTTTAGCATTTATAAAATATGAAACACAAAGTACCGACACATCATTTATTAATTACAAATCAAATCCGTTTGTGCATTCGACTGAAGTGTATTTGGTTTGTGTGTCGTGACAACAATATTCGTAAAAGAATCACAGTGTATTTTCAATTGATTTAATATGATTTCATTTAAGTTCGTTTGTTCAAGCGCCAAGTAATCGTGTTCTGAAAATCGATGTCATCGCTTCCGCTTTTTATTCTAAACGAACGAAATACATCGTTATGTAATGCATTTAAATGATAAACAATTTTCTATCTCCATACAAAATTTTCGAATGGAAATTTGAAAGAAAAAATGAAAAAAAAATGAAGCGAGATACTCTCCGCTTCAAGCAGACAAGTAGCTTCCTTTTTCTCTCGTTTTTCTTATTCTGTTAAATTTCTTATTGATGTAGAAGGTATACAACAGACCAGCATCGAAGTGTGCGTGTTTTATGTGATGATTGACGAAAATCATAAAGGAACATTTTTTAAAACAATGGCAATGAATACAGCTTAAGCAATTCGAAAAAAAATATATTTGAAATAAAAAAAGTATTCAATTGACAATTGTAAGGAAAATGTGATATTCGATGATTTTATACACGGTCATTAGGTTAATAGCAACGGACACAACAGCAAAAAAAACGAACGCATTTCAAAACAGAATAGAGAGAGAAAGAGAAAAATGCAAGAGAATACAACTGACCAAATGGTTGTTCGAGTGACAATATTCTCTACTGAAATCGAATGTGAAAAATAAACAACAAATTTTACGTTATGATACATATATGCAACGAGATAATAGCTTTCCGTTTGTCTCATATGATACGCAAAACCAAACGCACTCATTTTCTCTCTGGCTCACTGTTTTCACTCGATGCATACAAATATCAAATAGATATATAATTATGTACACGTACAAACCATAGTGTATAGCTATTTGATGCGTTAATTCTTCGTGTGCACTTTAAACGAAATCAAAATGCAAACGGAACAGTAATAAATAAAAGGAACAACAACAAAACCTATCCAACCCAAATTGAAGCGGACAAAGAATTGTGTATATATGTATTCATCATATATGTACCACAAACAGCACAGCGAGAGAGAGAGAATATTTTCGTGATTTTATTCAGGATGCAAACAATGTATCATAAACGTGTTTCATTATTGAATGTGAATGTGAAATTGTGAATGTGATTGTGATCCTATGGACTCATGTGTATCGAAATTTATATTGCGCATGTTATGTCATGAATCTGTTTCGTCTCGTGTACAACAACAAAACAACATAAATATCAATTTGGCTAAAAAGTTTGAACGAAATAAAAGGGAAATTATCTTGTGTCGAACACACAGCAAAAAAGAGAAATTTACATTTAAAAATCCGTTGAAATAAAAGCGAATTTCATTTAAAATAAACCAAATCGAAAATCAAAGAAATAAACAAATAAAGTGAAGAATTGGTTTGAAAACCACGAAAGCAGTGGCACGGACACGTAAACGTTCCTTTCTTCACAACATCTACAATCATACAAACACACACACGCACACATACATCCACACACATAATCGTCATCTCTCTCGTTCGCTCTCAGTCATTCACTCTCTTTCTCTTTCCATTTTTCGACCAGTTTATTGTGCTTTTCATGGACAAAGTTTGACATTAAACCAACAAAAAGGAGCAAACAATTGAATTTTGCTTTGTACAAATACTCGACTCGAATTCAGTATAAATCGCCGCAAGCAGAACCCCAAAGACTAAACCATATCGTTAATAAAATGGTAAGTGATTAATTTCAATGTGACAAATGGCAGTGGCATTGGACAATTTTGAAGGCAGCTCACCACACTTTCTTTTAAGCTTTCACATTTTTGCAACTTCGTCGACACAATTTTCTTGTGTGTTCTTTCTTCTTCTTTTTTTAATTCGCATTTTGTTTTTCTTCAGTTTTTTTTTCAATTCATTTTTCTTATTCCTTTTTAACGAACGAATTAAAAAAAAAAACGTTGCATTCAAAATTTATCAAATTTTGCTTGGTTGTGTGCTTTTCATCTTTATTCTCTCGTTGTCACATTTATCATTGCGTGCACACAGGATGAAGATATTGAAATGATAGCTCCAAACTACTTCGAAATTGCCGAAACAGACATTTTATCAACATAAGATCTCTCTCAGAACACAACGAGAAAGAAAACAATTGTTATCAGCTCGATTTCCCCCCAAAACTTAAACACACACGGCTTATAATGTCACAACAGCAACAATCGCAGCTTCATAGCAATATCAACAATTCATCGGGCAAGCAAAGAGTAAGTGCAATTACACATACATACACCAAATGTGTCTCTATATATAGACGATATAATATGAATGTGTGAACATTTATTGAGAAAATTAGAAATAGAAAAGTCTATATTGTTATCGATAAATTGAAATGTATGTCAACCAGATCATATATTCATTCCTATTTTCGCAATTTAGAATAATGGAAAAGGGAAATTTCTGACACGAAGCCATGCAATGCATGAATGCACTTCACCACCGCAAACGCCAACACCCCGAACAGCATCAGCAGCAGCAGCCGTTGCCGTTGCCAACGCCGCCGCCGCTGCAACAGCAGCAGTAACTAACAGCCAATCGACAGTAGCACCGATCAATGATCCGACCAAAGGAGAAAATAACAGTAAAATGTCATCCCTATCGCCAATCACCGTCAATGCCACCAATAATACCATACAAAGTAACGCACAGCAATCATCAACAACACCGAATATGTTTGCGCCCAATGGCAATCTAAATGTTTCACAATTAGATTTAGAATTTCCAAAATTAACGCCGCCAAAGTCGAAATCACCTCGGTAAATGTTGAACCAATTCTTTATGTTCTCTTTTCCTTTTCTTCTTCTCATTTTTGTTTTCATCAAACATTCGTTTTTACAACCATTTACTCTGTTCACCTTTGGTCCATTTATAAAGCTCACTTCTTAGTTACGGTGTGTCTTTTTGTGAGGGCTTTTGTTTGATTCGCATAGAAAGCGAATTGTTTCATACCCTCATTGTTTTATTTTCTTCACTTCTATTTTTCATCATCACACCATTTTTGTTTACCCACACCGTAGTCATAATAATAATATTGTAAAATATGATTATGAATTAATTCCAAATTTACAGGAACAACAATAACGTTACTAACAACAATAACAATACTCAACACAGTGTTGCAGCTGTTAATAGTAATTCCGAACACAGTAGTTCTAATAGTAATATTAATAATGAGAGCACAGGCGATGGCAATGGGATTAACCGCGAATGTGTGAATGAAAATGCTGCAGGTACATTACAGTGTTTTGATTCGAATAGTTGTTTTTTCTTTGGAATTCAGCTTGGATTTAATGGTTAAAATTTATCATAATTAATTATTCTATTTTTTTGGATACGGTTTTTTTTTTAATTTTCTGTTGGTATCTTTATTTTGAATGGCTGAAATTCGTTTAAATTTTAACAACTAATTTAAAATCCAAACAAAATTTTGAATACAATCAGCCGAATGATTGTCGGCGAAAAATAAAGAAAAATTAAAATAAATTGTGCATTTATGGACAGGATCAGCAGCCGTTGTACCGTCTCAAAACTCAACCGATTTATCAACGAAATCATCTCATATGTTAGATGTTGTCAAAGGCAACACAGGAAACATGGTCAGCTGCACTATATTGCTGAACGATGTGGAAAAGAAATGTGATTTATTGTTACAAGGTAATAAAGGTAATAATCAACAAAACTGTGTCGACGAAAACTTTAGTGATAAGGATAAATCTAACGCCGATGAAAGTTCAAACGCTGCCGAATTTGTATATAAGAAAAATCGAAACAGTTCCGTTACGAAAGGCGGAGGTGGTGGCAGCGGAAAATCCAGACAAAAACAAAACTATGGTGAGTTTTCGAAAATGATAGTTTTGCTTGCAACTTGTCATCATTTCTGAATATTGTATATATTGTAACTCATTTTGTTTGCTCTCAAGGATACGATAAGTCAAACAGCAATAATGTTGGTCAATCAGAACCATCACAGAATGTCACTTCCAATGGTTGCCAATCGGATTATTATTCGATGGAAAATTCAAATACCGATCACTTCACCGATCAAAGTGGCGTTGATTTATTGCAATTCTTTAAGATAACGTTAAATAAAAATGCAAAAGATCGTTATATGCTGTTGCGCGTGGAAAAGGAGTTGGCCGCATTAGCTCAAGATCAGAGGTTTGTCTGTTGAATAAAAGTTCAATTTGTTGATTTTAAATGGTTCATTTCATTTTTGACAAATGCAATATTCCATCGATAGTCGTGATGTTATCAAATTTCCTACGATGTCTTCATACAATCGCATGCTGATACATCGATTGGCTGCTTGGTTTGGAATGGAGCATAACGTTGACAGTACAGTGCAATGTGTCATTGTGAATACGACAAAAGCAACTCGATTACCCGAGGTAAGTGCACTGAACACAATGCAAAATTTCAATTTCAATTTCACTCTGATGCGTTGACAGAAACGAAAAATACAATTTGTGGTTTTAATTAATTTGCCTGAAATTTAGATTCGTTTTAAAAGTCTGCTAACCGATACATTCAGCGATGAGGCGCCCAGTCGTAAGAGCATTTTGAAAAGAGATGCACACAGTTTTGAAGAATATCGACAAGGATTATTGGCGTGCCCCGATCGTGGTAATTTACTCGACCGCAAAGCAAAAAGCTTTGAAGAACGCGAACAAGAGTACGAAAAGGCCAAACGACGCATATTTAAAGATATGAACAGCGAATCGATCGAACAATTCTGGCAAAATTGGCATTCGGGCGATGGTTTAAATGCAAATAATTCACATAAAAATAGTGGCAAAAATATAAACACGGATACAACCGATGACGATCATCCACATCAGCATCAGCATTCACATGTGAATGAAGGACGCCTGGATGGCAGACCAAGCGTCGAAAAAAGTCATAGTTTCGGTGGTTATGGGCCACCATCTCAAGCGCGCATCGTTCGCGGTGATTCAGTTAATTCGACAAAAAGTGCTGTTTTGAATAAGCATGATTCGAATCAACAAACATGGCGACTATCACCATCGAGTAGCGGGTAAATATTTTTCACAATTCAACAATTTAGCTAGACATTTTCAATTCGATACCGAAATTATTGTCATTGATTTGTCCATCGTTATGGTTAGATACAAAACACAATCGCAGTCACTACGTTCCGATTCAGTGACACCGTCGCCAAGCTATGGCAGTGGTAGTCATACGCCAGAACCAATACAAACCGTATCTTCGGGAATAATTTGGGCAGTAACTGATATGGCAAGCGTGCCAAAAGGCAGCGTCTTACTCGATCCACAAACATTTAAACCGCTCGTAAATCAAGACGGGTAAAAATATTTTATATTAAACATTATTTTCTATCTATCTCTATCTCTCTCACACTCTTTCGCTTTCATTTACCTCGAATTAGATCAATTTATCATTTTGATCCGAGCAATTTGCCGAAACTACAGATACCAAATACATCACCAGCAAACACTCCGTCGCCAACATTGTCGGTTAATGAAAATACGAATGTTCCGTCGCGGAAGAAAAACCACAACAAGCCCATTAATAATAATGTCGACGATACGGTTGTTGTACAACGCACAAGTGAAAAATGTGATAGAGATAATGTTTCGAATGCCGTTGCCACACGTGACGAAAATGGCGCGTGCAAACCGGAAATCGAAGTTTCATCCGAGTTAGAAGTGACTTTACCGGAGCCAATGGAAAATATTTCAATGAATTCACTTTTGTCTCCACTTAATCAAACATACCAAGAAACACAAGACAATAACTTGGATCGAAAGGCAGACGGTATGACGAATCAAATCGTTTATGATTATTTATGTGATTTTGAACAAAAAAATATACTTATTCAATTTGCAGATAACTGCCAAGAGGCTGTAGTACATCCAAATGTAAAAAGTCAATCGACTAGTCCAAATATTCCATGTGATTCGGAGAGTTATCAATTGAGCCCAAGTGATCAATCGACTCCAACTAATATCGATGTAAGCAATTCTCCTTCCAATCAATTTTCTTCATTCTAATTGAAGGACGATTAAAAATTGTAATTTTATTTTAATTCGTGCTACATGTTAATTCATTCATTCAGGAGAATTTGAATCAACCAAACAATGATGCTAAAGGAGCGGTCAATGGAACAGTGAATAAGGTGACAACAGAAAAATCACAAAATACCGCTAATCCAAGTTACACAGGGAATAAAAAGGATGAGATTAAAATCTTACCAGCGGTTGTGCCAGTTTTGAGTTATACTACAGCGGCTCCGCCAAACATATATCCACCAATCGATGCTGGCGTTCAATTTGTCGCTGGAACACAACCAACACAACCAACATCATTTCCGACAACATATCAGCAAGGCGTAAGTTCACACAAACATGATAACTGGAAAAAAGTATGAAAAAACATTTTTTTTTCTCTCTTTATCAGTTGGATGGAAGTATTTACGCCGTTCCACAGCCCATGATATATGGATATCCAACAGTGGTAACTAATTCAATAATAAGAATACACTACCAAAGTACTTGGAAGTAATGCTTGATGTATCGATGCATAAACGAGTGGAATTCAAAAAATATTTTAAAGCCATTGGGATCCGCAGGAGAATTAACCAATTTAATCAAAATTCGAAAGCCATATCGACTTTCGTCAAAAAAAAAATTCATGAAAAAGCACAGAAATTTGGTAGTTTGTTGTACTAGGGCCACTTGTTACAAGGTCGATCGAGTATTCTATCTGTGTTTTTTCGAAAGGGCATCTGAAGACCTACAAACTGAGCGATTTCAATCAAAATCGTAGTATTTGAACTCGAGTTACAACGTACAAATCAAGTTGTCTTGAAGTTCCCATACAAATTCTTAGGAAAAACCTCATTTACAAGAAAAATAATTTTCTTGGACGAATTTTACAAGAAGAAAAATATAGTTTTCGTGGATTGGGCTCAGGAATCTGAAAAAATAGGTTTCAAGTTGATAGCTGATATCTTACTTGAGTTATGCGTTGTACAAACAAAAAAACAAACAAACAAACCGAAAACGATTCTAAAGCTTGATTATACATGCAAATCCCATAGCCTCAAATTATCCAACATAAACTTTAATTCAGAGTACCCTTTGTACAGTAGACCAAAATAGATAGAATTAGATTTCCCTTTCAGCCTGCATTTCCATAAAGTAGAAGCTTCAAAAACTATGGTGTAACAGGCAACTTAATTAGAAACTTTTTGTTGTTGTTCTTTTTTAATAAAAAAACAGCAAGACAACGAATATTCGGGAGGAATATTTGTGCCAATGTATGATCAAGGTGGTGCTCAAGTACCTGTTAGCACCCAACAAAATGAGCAAAATACAACCACAACTGATTATCGTCGAAATTGTGGCGTTCCGTTAGCATTTTTTGAGCCGCCGTCCACCGGTAAGCTTGTTTTTTTTTTTTTTTCTTTGAATTTGTTCTATCATCCCATTCGTTTCTTTTCATTTTGATTTTACTATGGTGTTTTACATTGCTTTAATATGAATATTTCACATGTTACATATTACAAAACTGATCGATACAATTTCAGCAATGACAGTGGTACCAGTTGCGTATCCAGCCACATCAACAGCTGCACCATATGGTCCTTCACACAATATCTACCAAGGCCAAATACTGTACACATCAGATCAATATAATCCAGCGACTGCGTCAAATAGCCAAGTTCCACAATACATAAACTATCCAGTTGGTTACACTTATCCATACAATGGTATGTATTGTTTCTGCATAATGCACGATATACGCCTCAAACATAAATAATTAGTAGTGTAATGAAATCGATGATCATCTCAATCTATTTTCAATCCGGGTCCGGTTTTATTTTCGTGTGTGTAATTTACAGGTGCGGCATATCCTTATTGGGGACAAGCGATGACTTATTATGTTCCACAAACGATGCAGACTCAAACCACGGCGATAGCAAATAACAATACAACAAACGCAAATTCGAATAGTAATAATACTAGTAATAATAATAATAATGATAGTAACGGAAATAAGGCACATATTCAGTCGCCACATAGCATTCAACCACATCCGAATACAGTAGCAAAGACTCCATTATACGCATCAAATTCAACAAACGAAACTAAGTCGATAACGACACCGAATGCTGCCTCGCAACCAAACGTTTTTCAGTATCCACCGACAATGACATCTGCACCAACATCGACGTCGTCCACGTCAATTACGAACTCAACAACGACGAACGCAACTAATAATTCCGTAGCAATCACATCGGTTCAATCGTTACCAAACACATCGGTTAGTGTAAGTTCGTCATTGCCGACAAATGTTGGAAACGATAATCCGAAATTAGTATCACACGTACCAAACGCAGGCCATCCATCCCATCGGTAAGTTTATTGAATCATTACAATATCCATTTGAACATATTCAAAATATGTATTCGACGAATGCACCTGTCTGTTCGGACCATATATTTCATTTTGTTATTTTGAAATTGTATACATATATATGTTCGTACAAGTTGTAAACCAAATTCGATCGCTATTAACCCTCCTAGGTATAGTTCGAAATAAAAACAATATAGTATAGTTACGGTCTATTAGACCGTTCATACAAAATACAGGGAAACCAAACAAAAACCAAAACAAAATCACACATTTTTTCAAATTTTTGCATTTTTTTTAAATAAAAACATTGAAAAAGGTTTGAAAGTTAAAAATTGAAAAGATTTCAAGAAAATAATTAATTTGAATCATCATTTGAATTTACATGAGAGCGTTTTTTTCTCGCATTTTGCACACACAACACTGATTTTCGAATGTTCGCCGCATACATTTTTATTGCATTTGTCGCAACATGTTTTGGTTTTACGATTGATTGAACTTGGACATAAATGACATGCACGTCGTTGTCGTGGTGTAACTGGCGCTTCTTGTTCCTCTTGACCCATCAAATGCTCACGAACTTCTTTGAAAGCCGACTGATTAGATGCATTCATGCCACGCGCTGTTCGCCGTGAGATATGATCGTAAACTAAACCTTCATACAATTCGATCAAAAATGTCTTGCGTTGAAATGCATACTGTTCATGCGTGATATCGTGACTTGTGTTGTAAAGAACAAATGCTGCAACACCACATACGTTGATGAGATTCATGAAGAATGGAAATGGCCATCGATTGGTTCCAAGTTGACATGAGTTTGAATGGCACATTTGATCCCTAGTTTGATCCAAAACATCCACACCGCCTTTTGTGCTATTGTAGACTTCAGATCGATTTTTTTCTGACAGACATTTTGTTGAAATAATAATATTATGTACGCGATAAACAAGATTCAAATTGATTTTTCTTGAGAATTTCAACCTATCTTCTCGTTTTCCAATTTAGTTTTTCATTTTTATTAAACGGATATCATAAATTTTCACCAACTTGATTTGTGAAAATGCTTGATTATGTGTTTCCCATACATTTTGTATGGACGGTCTAAGAGACCGTAACTATACGATCAAGTTAGGATTTTCGTCTTTCTGGATTTTTTTTTTTACAGAACAGTTTCAGGATTTTAAATGTTATTTTCAATATTTATCCATTATTCTCGTAAAAAGGCGAAAATTTGATGCCAATCGGTCGACGCATTTCCATTTTATGATATTTTTTTTAAGTTTTCGGTCTAATAGACCGTTACTATACCTAGGAGGGTTAACGAAAAACAATGCGAAATGTGATCAATTTGCGTACATCATCATATTGAGTTTCGTCCATAGCATTTATATATTTGGAAAATTAGATCAATTAGCATATTCCTGCATCTCATTTAATTCATAGCACGAAAAATCATCAAGCATTGCTGTCCACACCGAATGATAGTTTGAAACAAAATAATCCAAACGCGAACACCGATGAGCCTGATTCGAAAGAATTTTCAAATCATTCCAGCACAAACTACGAACGAAAGAAAAATCTACAAAATTCAAATCGAAAACCGTACGTTGGAAGCGGAGGTGGCGGTGGTGGACCATATCGGCCAAATCCAAATGTTGGCATTAATAATCACAATTCAAATTCGCTATCAATAAATAATCCAGCTGGTGGTCAAACCAATATGTCGGCTACAAATAATCCGGGCATTCGAAAAGGACCATTAATTCATCATACCATTCCTGAATCGAGTGGTAATACTCATATTTTTACTAGTGGTGCGGGTCATCATCACAATGAAAACATGACGCCTGCATATAATCGCTCCAATAGCACACAAAATAGTAAGTGAACAATGAAGATGAAAACCTAGGAGAAAAATGAACAAAACCAATAAAATACTTAAAACATTTCTATCTCATTTTGCTTTTCAAGGCTCATCCGCACCAAACATTGAACACTCCGAAAAGAGGCCAATAAATCATAATAAACCATTAATCGCAACATTGCCAACGCTAAGCAATGTACATAATCATTTTGACCGAACGCGTGCTCCTCGTCCAAAACCATTGGATTTGCGTCGAAATGCCAGTAACCGAAATACGCCGAGTACAAATTCAACCGAAAGTAATATTATTCTTTTTCCATAAATTCCATTACTTATTGATTATTTTCCATTCATTTCCATATGACTAGGTAATAATTCACCGAATAGCATCATCTCAAGTGATCAACATCATTCACAAAATCATCATCAACAGGTAAACTATTTAGCATAGCAACAAACAACATCAAAAATATACAGCAAAAAAAAAAAAACAAATAAAAATTAAAAAAAAAAAAAAAAAACAGAAATTTAACACAAACGATAGCAGTGACTTATGAATATGCATAATTTTTTTATCACATTTTAAAATTTTCATAACAGCAACAAATACAAACCACTTCATCGTACGTAAGCGGTGAGTATCGCCAAACAAATCGACGCAGTGAGTTTTCTTTTTTTACCTTTTCTATGTGCTCATTCTCATTGAAATTGAACATCATAAAATTAATGTGCATGTTGTTTTTGTGATTTTTCTTTTGTCATAGGCACTGTAAACACATCGATAATGAGTCAAACTGGAATTCAACCGAATATTGGGCCAAGAGTGGTAAGCTCAACGAGCAATTCACTTAAAAATTGCTTTTCTATTTAATAATTCTTATCGATTCTTTCTCACGTTCATACATTAATTCTAATATGTACAAATTATTTTTTTGATTAATCGTTCATTTCATTTGTTTTATGAACCCCTTAGGTTAGCTCAACAAAACCAAAACAAGTAATCTTCCATTCTTTTATTTATTCTACATTCAACCATGTTGAACATGTATTTATCATGTTAATTTCTCTTCAATGTATGTCATCATTAGGTTCGCATGTATCATGGCGACATTGCAAATACAAATTCAGACTCATTGGGATCGCCGTCGTCTGCATTGTGCGGTGAACCATTTGCATACAATCCACATTCGGGAATGTATATAAAATTTGGAAAAACTTATATTGCTCATGTATGTTTAGAAGAAATTGAATTTAGATACAATTTATTCAAAAATACACGTGTCTCTTTTGTTACACAGTCAATGGCATTTCCGAATAAGGCTCAGCAAAATGATATAAGACAATCACTGCCGCCTATAACTGGAATTTATCCAACGATGAATATGATGCTAACAGGTAAATAACGAAACATTGAAATCTAGTTTTTTTTATCTATATGACATTTTGACATTCATTTAAAATGCATTTTCAATGTATATAGGTTATCCAGCAGCAGCCCGTCCACATACAGTAGGACCGAGACCATCGCACGTTAATCCAAACTTTAATAAAAATAATCGAACACCCAGATAAAAAACTTCATCTACATTCAATCCGTTTCGCATTACTTTCAGCTAAATAACGTTACGTACTTTATTTCTGCTCACACTCCAAACAAACAAACAACAAACCAAGAGAAAATCAATGAAAGTAACTCACACACAAACATACACACACACACACACACACACACAAAACACTACAAAAACAACAGAAAACTTAAAAAAAATAAGCTTAAAAAAATCTACCACGATAAAACTCCTAAAATATATGAATCTATATGCATTAACCACTAAAAAAACATACATATATTAAAGATTATATGTTTAAATTGTATTCTGTAGGAGGCGCAAGCTAAGTAATTATTGAAACCTAAAAACTGAATATGAAGACAGATTGAGGGAAAGAAAGAGGAAAAAAACACAACAAATGGTTCTATCTAGCTTTACCAAAAGATAACAAAAAAAAATAAAAGATGACATTTAAAAATAAAATTTAAAAGAAAAAAGAATATTAGAAGTAAATAAGACAGAAACTATTTATTTGTAAAAAAAAATAAATTTAGCATAATAAAGGAAAATTTAAAAAAATTCAAGACTCGGCCTTTTATTTCTCATTACCATAAAAATATATGATTGATGAAATAAATATTCAGATCCAGATTTATTGAAGTGGTTAAAAATCGACCCCCCAAATCATCTTCGCAATAAGGAACCAAGCTGATTAACAAAAAAGACAATATCAACCGAAATCGAAACACACCAACATTTGCATGATTCGTTGTGCGGGCGATCCAAATACTCAAAATTCAAGGACATACCAAGAAAAAAGAATAAAACAATTCACAAAATGGTATAAACATTTATATTCTAAATTGTTCACTTAAATGCTAAACATCAATTTATCAAAAAAAGGGTGCATCATTTGACGAAAAAAAAACATGTCTATGTTATACGAACTATGAACTTTGAGGATGTTTAAAAATGTTTTTTTTTTTCCTTTCGTTAAATTCTACGAGAATTATGTATCTATTGTATGTGTTGGTTGTGGTTGTGGCGGTGAAAATGTGTCCATTATACATATACATATATATTATTTATATTTATATCATTATTTTAATCGCCTATTTTCCGAAGTGCGTTTCACATAAGAAAAAGATAGGTCAATAGGTGATGGAGATAGAGAGGGATAGAAGGGGGAGTGGCGAGAGATAGCGGTCGAAATTAATTTACGGTTTTTTTTTATTTATTTGATTTTAGTTATTGTTTTAGCTTATATATATATATTTATATATATCGGCAAATCTTATACACCTACTTAAGTTAAATATTTTTTTACTATAATTTTTTTGTGTTTTATTTTTTGAAAATTTTTGTTGTTGTTGTTGTTGTTTTTTTTTTTAAATCAATATTATAATTATTATTTCAATGCATTTAGTGATTTACAACCTCATTTAGACAGTAATCGATACCGAAAACAAACTCATTCAAAATGTCAATTGATTTTGTCGTTTGCATATCAAGAAAAAAAATATATATATATGGTATCACTACGCCAATCAATTTGTTGAATTTGAAGAAGGCAAAAATTAAATATTACAATTATCAAAGAAAATTTATTTCCATTGCGAAATTGAGCAAAAACGCAACGCACCACTGTTATACAATTAAATATTTTATGCAAGGCTGTACTTATCGTGCGAGTGGTACAAATCGTTTAATGTGTGATTGTATGTGAGAGATACAGAATGAATGTGAACTATATGTTTATATTTCTCTTTAAAATTATGCTCATTTTTTTATTTGTTTGCTTTCATTAATAAACCATCTCAGATCAGGATACTCTCGCTTGTATATGGTATGCACCATATGAAATTCAAACAATTTTTTTCGTCAGTTTTCTTTCCACATACTATCTGCGTTTGTCCTAAATTTATAAAATAGTTTTATCAATTGATTCAATCTTCTTTTTGATATTTTTTTTTCGTCAATAAAATTTTTCGTCAACATTTCTTTAATTTTCTACAGAGAATTTTTTTTGCATGTATGTCAAACAGTGAACAATTACGTAAAAGTGGAATACGAAAATTCACTGAAAATCGTGCGTGCATTCCACAACATTTCACTGTGTATTCCATAAAAATGTCATAGTGTATGGGACTTATTCTCTCACCAAAAAAAAAACTATTTTTTTTATTCATTTATGTACAAAATTCATGAGATAAGTCGACATATTATGTGTATTGAATATTTTGTTTGTTTGTTTTTGTTTTGTACACATGCCTTGGTTATTATAATTATTCCTAAAAATTATTTCTATTCCCTCTTCTTCTCTGTGGAAATTTAAATATAATAATGTGAACAAAAAAGAATTGATTTTTTTCTACAATCTCCCATTTTCTTCTTCTCTCGATAGATAAAAAAAAAGGTTTAAAATCATATATTTTCGAGCAATGATTTTGGTCACTTACTATTTCTGTTTTTTGTTTCTTTCTTCGTTTTTTTTTTTTTTGTTTAAATAAACTTTGTTGTTTCGTTAAGACTATTGCAGTAAAATGATTTTTAATTTGATGCTTTTAGAATATCAATTCTATGTCACACCAAATGGTTATGGTTTCCAGTTGTTTTGGCGACTGCTTGAACCCGATGGTTGTTGCTGGTGTTGCGCTAATTCATTTAATAAAACTTGACGCTGAAATTCGGCCAATGTTCGAATATCAAAATTGGGCGCATTGTTTTTGGACGAGGCTATTGGAAATTGAAAAAAAAAAAAAAACAATGTTGTCAAAATCGTATCTTTGCATTTTTTTAAACGGTTTTAGAGACTTACATGACTTCTTTCCAAGAGCTTGTGCCATTTGTAATTGATACATGTACTGATGGATTGGACTGAATTGGCCCAATAATTGAGCATTTACAGCAGCCGCCGCAGCCGCATTAGCATTGTTTCCGGCGCCCATTCCTTGTTGCAAACCTAGATGAATAAAAAACCAAATGATTAACAAATATTATTTTGATAAAAAACGATCAAGCAAAAAAATTTTAGTGAATTATTTACGTAGAAATTGTTGTTGTAGTGTTGCCATTGCAAGTTGAGCCTGTGCAGCTTGTGCTGCTTGTGTGTTACTTAAGTTACCGAGTCCGGCAAGACTGCCCAAATTTCCTAAGCCAAGACCGCCTAATTGACCTAAACCAGCTAGAGCACCAATATTTCCAACCTGAATTTTTTTTAAAAATATAGTATTAAAAATCATCCCAAATTGATTTTACATTTTAAAACCGTTCACTGCTTGATAGATCGTTAAGAGAGCTTGAATTATTCCGTTTGACTTAATCAAGTCAACAGGTCCATTTGCTCGTCATTTTGAAATAAAAAGAAAAAGATAAGACGTGAGTTTTAAAAAGTACCTGCAAACCAAGATTGGCCAGAGCATTCAGTTGGGCAGCCGCAGCAGCCGTACTTGCAGCCTCATTTTGTTGTAATTGTTGTTGTTGCTGTTGCTGCTGTTGTTGCTGCTGTTGTTGTTGCTGCTGCTGTTGCAATGATGATGACGATGATTGCGCCAACGAAGCTTGTTGAATTGCAGATTGTTGTGAAGAAGATTGCTGTTGTGATCGTGACGGTCTGAAATGAAATAGAAATGAAAATGAAACACCGATGCAAATTAATTATTTTTCCACTTCAAGTGACAACGAAATTTAAATCATCGGAAAATGTGTATTGTACCTTGATGTTGGCGGTGTGGCCGATTTGCTTGGAAGTGGCAGAGGTGGCGTCGGTCGTTGTGTGGGTGTTTGTGATTTAGCTGGAGCCGGATGTGGTGTTATTGTAACCGGTGTTGCCGTTACAGACGGTGATTGTGTGAACGAATGCGATGAATGTGATGTGGGTGAGGGACTGCTTTGCGTTGCCAAACGTTGTTCGATCTCTTGCTCTTGTTGCAGTGCTTTGACAAATGCTGTTTTCAGTCGATTCGTATGTTCAGCCTTCAGTGCTTTCTTAACATTCGTCGTAACACATTGCTCACATATAATCTTTGAATCTTTGCCAACTGGTGGATGAGAAAGCAAAAAGCATTTTGAATAAAGAATAATTAACACAATCATTAATAGTCTCATTGTGATTGATTTTGATAAGACACTTACTTGGTGCATTTGTAAAGGTAGCATTGACAGTTTTGCCTTGTTTTTCCCATTTCCATAGTGGCGTAAAGTCAATTTTACATTGCGAACAACGGTATGGTTGTTGAATTGGTGGCTGTGAACTTTTATCTTTTGTCAGATAGTCGACAACCGTTTCCAAACCAAGCAAATACACAAATTCCGTGTTGCTTGGATTTGGAATGAAGTTCATTTCTGGTGGTGGTGGTTTTGGTGGTGGAATTTGTAACAAAGTCTTTTCTAATTGTTTGCGCAATGCTAATTTTGCAGCCGCTTGACGTTGAGCCGGCGTTTGAGCCTCTTCTCGAGAACTCGATCGGTCATTCTAACGAAACGAACAAAATTGATAATCACAAAGATACAAACAAAAAAAAACATGTAAACATAAAAGCATTTAGTAGATAATTCGCTATATAGAGAGGGAGTGTATGTGCATAAACAAAATTCAGTTCATTGAACTTACCTTGCTCAGCTGATCGTTGTTGGATATATGCGGTGGGGCCGGAGTTATTGAAACTGAACTGCTTACTTGATTCAATTTTGAGGCATTGTCCAATAGATTAATTTGCTAATGAGATGAAAAAATTAAATTGCATTTCATTTTTGTCATGTAAATCGAAGTAACGAATTAAATCTTACCATAACATCTTTTCTTGGCGGAACCGTTGTTGGTGTGATAGTTACAGATGGCGTTATTGTCAAATTAGTACCAGTTCGAGTTTGTCCATATGATGATCGATGCGATGGTGGTCCTCCTATAAAAGCAAAAAAAAATATACCTTTAAATTTGCTCTTTGTGTGTGTGTGTGTGTGTGTGTGTCAAATGTAAATATTTAACATTTGGTTTGAATTTATACAATTGAATTTACCTGGCGTTAATGTGGCGCCGCCTGGCAATGATGAACGAGTTGGTGGTAAAGCATTTACACTTGCTCTTGAATTTCCGCTGCTACTAGCCGTTTGTCTGCAAATCGAATTTCCAAATGGATTTTATATTGTGCATTGTAAAATAAATAAGAAAAAGTCATGGAATTGTTTTCGCTTTGTTTACCTAATCAAAGGAGATGAATTTCGGTTGGATTTTGAATGAGCTGTAATTTGAAGATTTGAAGACGAAGGTGGTGGTGCAGGTGTAACACTTAATGAACCTTTGGATGAAAGTGACAAAGCGGCCGGAATCTCAACTATTGGATTCGAACTATTTGAAGCATTTGTGTGTGTTACAATTAAATTCTCTTTCATCACTTGTTGTGATTGCTTCAGCTTCTTTAATAAAACCAATTTGGTCTCTTCATTTCTCAGTTCTTCTCTCAATTTTCTCAGTCCTCTATCTCGCTCCCATATTTCAGCCGCAGATAATTCCTGCCAAACCAAAAACAATGGTTGGCGAAACACAAACGAACAATCACAAAGAAAAACAATCAATATTTATACTATATTTGTGATGATGCGCGCATATCTGCGTTCTCTTTTCAATTTATTTACCTTAATTGCAATAATAGGTGGCATTTCCTCATCATCTGTATCCGAGTCAATGTTGCCGTTTTGTTGGCGGCCATTTATTTTGGCTGGCAGTAAAACTATATCAGGTGCTTCGGCATATGATTTTGGTTCAGTTCTTGGCCGTAATACGCGTCTACTGTATGGCTCTGTATTGTTGTTGTTGTTTTTTTTTTCGATGTCAGATAAATAAAACGTGCGTCAGTAAATTTAAATTTTGATTTGATTCAAAAACAAAAAGCGATAGATGGTTCGCTAGTGAACATACCATTATTGACGGATGGTGGAGCCGGTGTGATAGTCAAGCCGGCATTCTGAGTTAATGCCCTCAAATCACGTACTGTTGCATTTGATAGAGAAACCGCCGAATCTCTTCCCATGCTCAAATCCACCACGTCGTCCACTTCCATTTTTTCCATGATTGGAATTTCTCTAACTTCTTACGCTCAATTTTTATGTCTATTTTTTGTGTATGTTGTTCTATTTCGTTTTTTCAAAATAAGTTGTTTATGCTATTTTTGCTGTTGAAATTGTTTTACGAAAACTCACTGCAATAATGACCAGAGAGAAAAAAAAAACAACAAAACATTAAAAATACATTTCAGTAAATATTAAACTTTAAGAGAAAAAAATGCAAACACATCACTTTATCGGGTCTTCAATTTTTGCATTATTCACATTTAAAAAAGAAAGAAATTCTATTAATCAGAATTTAGGAGAGAAAAAAAAACACACGCATACATTAACACATACACATATAGTGAGGATATTCCGATTTCCAAATTTGTGAAACAATGAAACAGCAGAAAGAGAAAAAAAATGAATTTTCAACCGATTAAATTGATATTGATCATAGATGATGATATATTTCTATTAGAACACGATACCAATCATATCGAGTTTTGTCGAGTTTTAACATTAACGCACAATCGAAACGAATCACATATAAAACACAAAACGAAGAGAGTGAGAGAGAAAGAGAAAAATAAAATATGTAAATGTAATGAATGGTGGCATACCAACCCATTAAGCCTAATACATAATACCATCTAACATCATTGATTTGAACCAAAAACGCGAAGAGTAATAAAAAAAATTGTACGAAACACACTATCGCACATACACTGAACACAAGAGATTTTTAATGAGTAAAATGGGGAAAATGTTCATTGGAATATCATCGACACAATCGGACAATTGAGAGAGTAAATTTCACATTTGCATCAACTAATCATTTCAATGGTCACGCAACCGCACTTCTAATGTTCACTCTGATCAATTTCTGTAAATATCAATTTTCTTTTATTTGAATAAAAAAAAATTTTTTACCTTTTTTTAAAATAGGCATTAAAATTTCGCAACACACATACGAGCAACGGCGACGTAAGTAATAGCAATAATTTTGCCCGAAATCACAAATACACATTAAACACGTATACGCTATACAATATTATTTTTTTTTTTATTGTTTTAATGCTAGACAAACTATATGTACACTAATTGAACCCAAACCAAAGAAGGCTAATACAAAAAAAAAAGATTGAGGAGAAAATGCCAAAGGAAATATTGGTGAGCTCAATTGTTAAAAGTCGTCAAGATATCGTATTATTGAAACATTTTCATGCGCTTTACATTCTGAACTTCACTTAATCAACTTGTTATTTATCGTTTCCATTTTGTTGTTATTTGTTTTTAATTTATTAATCTACCGAAAAAACAATAAACTTTTATTAATACAGAAAAAAAAAAATTTTTTTTCGATTCAATCGGATTTATCTACGTGCATGAAAATGTGGAGAAACAAAAAAAGAAGTTGTCACACAATCGAGAGAATTTAGAAAATGGTAAAAACTAAGATGTCAGACTTGTGATGCGTTTGTGAGCGTAGCATATGCTGTAAGTTTTCAATGTTTCTCTTGTATTTACATTTCTATGTGTATGTGTTCGCGTGTGAGTGCGTGCGTTTGGCTGAATTAACGTTTGCAGCGCCTCCAACTGCCAATGCATACATAATCACCGAACCGAGAGATGGCTATCGTTTACAAACACACACACATACAACACTTGCATCGAAGCGCGCTGACATAATCATTTCAAATGGTAATAGACATTTACACCACACACACACACATACACACAAAATATGACATTTTATAATGTGAACAATAACAAGCCGCCTTTATCTCTGACCAATGCATTCACACGCTCATTCATTCTCTTTGAATGAATTTTTTTTTTACACATAAAATTTATTGCACTCATTAAACCAATTAATTTGAATAAAATGAAAAAGAAATCGGTGCTGGAAAAATTATGTTTTTTTTTTTTTGTTAATAAAATGGTTAGGCGGCATTCCAACGCATCGGCTATTTACTGTACGTGTAAACGATTCCTAACATACATTGCTTAATGAACATGGCGAAATGTCATAATTTCGCTTCTGCATTGTGTGTATGTACCGTTTTGACATCGACATCACTCGAATGATTGAAACAATAAAAAAACAACAACAGCAGCTCTGACATGTCTTTCGATTCACATTTATTGATAAGAAATATTCTGATTTTCAAGACATGATTAAAAATAAAACAGATTTAATGCATTTAAATGATTCCAATTGTTTACTGAGTCAACTAATCATCCGATGAAAATCAATCATAAAGAAGAAATATCTATATGAGCCACTGAACTGATCAATAATAAAAAATATTTCATATCTCAATGAATCGTTCAATGAAATCGGCATTCATATTACTCAAATATGTTTATCAGCTCAAATGAAATGGCAAAACTTATGCAATAGAAATGAAAGAACTTAACTTTTTATATGTTATACATGGATTTTTGACAAAATGTAAATATTTTCGATGTTTAAAATATGAATTTAAAGTGTAAGCGGCGATTAATGTCATTGTACGTGTGAACCATGCCAATCACACTATGGTATGAGGTAAAATGTCATGGTTTTGCTTGTGCGTGTAGTAAATAGTGTTGTCAAACCAGCGGTTTTGACAATTTTACTACTTGAAACACCAAAATAAATATCCACATTGAAGAAGCAAAAACAGTATTTACAACCACAACGATACCAGTATAAGCAAAAACATCAGCAACAGTAACGTGTGAAGCACACAGCAGTGGCACTTGCTGAATTGAAGGAAAAATCAATACGTTTGATATATACACGAAAAAAAAAATAGTTGCACACAACAGAAACAGTGCAAAATAAACTGTGTGTATTTTTTGCCAAACAAAAAGAAAAACGAAGAGAGGAAGGGGGAAAATCACGGAAGAAAATTTTCGCACTGGATCAATTTTAATTCGCAACGATATTGTGTATTTCGTCGTATTTGTATTCGCTTTCTATCTGTAAAAAAAATTCCAAATTTATTTATTTTTTTGTTTTTGGCAAACTACAACACATTATTTACTCCCAATTTTCGTTATTTTGGTTCGTTACTTCTGATTTTAATTGCTTCTCATTTTCATATGATTTGATTATTTATTATTATTTGATTTTGTTTATGTTTTTTTTTTTAATTTGTATTCGGACGATGTTTCGGCCTGTAATTGAATTTCAACAATGTAGCATCTTTTATGTATGGCTATATTCGAAAGAAAATTCAAACAAAAATCAACATTAGATGATACACACAATTTAATATGTACCATTGAAACAGCGCAAAAGGTCAACGGACACACGGTAAGCAGAATCACTTGTGTTGTTATTGTTGTTCCGATTATTATATAAAAATGAAAAGAAAACCAACGATAACTTAGAAATTATGTGAAAAAAAGTGACCGTATCGGATCAATGCATTTAATAATCACACGACTCGCCCCAAACACAAAGTGAAAAAAAACAAAATCACAGCATTTTATCGGGTGAAAGAAAAAGACATAATCTAATAAAGCCTTTATGCATTAGACATTAGATCGTGTTCTACGTACTTGATGAAATAAACCAAAGAACCATAATTAAAACCAAAACTAATTGCGTCAACGAAATAGATTCAATTAAGAATTCCATTATGCTTTCAAATGCGTCAGAAGATTTAATGATTCAAATGTATAAATAGTTTTCAGTTCTTCTTTTTTGATTGAGAATGCCATCGTAAATGATATGCGTGTTGATATTTATTTCGAGTGTTTTTTCCACCCTCTGTTTATTGTCCTGCGATCATATTTTTAGTAAAACTTGGTTGTGCTTTTGTCTATTTTATCATTTTCATTAAAGGAATATGTGCTTCGAGTGCAAAGAGGTATTTCGAAAGAAAATACATGGCGAGTATTGAGAAGATACAATGAATTTGTGGCATTGCATAAAGAACTACAAATATCCGGTATTGACCTACCGTTACCTGGAAAGAAAATTGTTGGTAAGTTGTTGTGTGCATAACCATTTGGAAAAGTAGTTAAAAAGTTACAAAGTTTTGTGTGTCGAATAATTTACATTTAGAATTGAAAAGTGTTCAATGCCAAACTAATGTGAAACTAAAATTGTTAAGCGAATATTGTGTTGATTTTGTTTTACTCTTTTCCAAACTATATGAAATGGTGTGTGTGTGTGTAATTAGGTAATATGCGCCCAGAGTTCATAGCTGAAAGACGACTGGCTTTGCAAAATTATATAAACATTGTACTAATGAATCCAATACTGGCATCATCGCTTCCGGCAAAGAAATTTGTGGATCCGGAAAGTTATAATCAATCATTCCACGATATTGCGGTCCAAAATGCGGCATTATGTTTGCGCACCGAAGGTGCATATACGCTTGGCCAAAGTTTAGGCCTAATTGGATGGCGCATTCGCAAGCATTTTTTTAAAGTGACACAAAAATTAAATGCAAACACTTCAACAGCACAAACAAGTGGCAGCGGCAGTAGTGGCGGTCACACAAGTAAACATACATTGACCAAATCGAGTTCACAATCGCATGCAAAATTATTATCGACAGCGGCCAGTTTATCACTGGAAAATCAACCAAAATGTTTGGATGGTGTTGAATTTTTAACATTGGCCTGGAGTGAATACGGTCCAGACAAATATATCGACGAAAAAGAAATTCATGCTACACTTAAAATGTTAACCACCATACAACATCCGTTCATAATGCCAATCGAATATATGGCAAGCAATGACAGTGGCGCTTTATTTATACGGAATTTCTATTCGAAAGGAAGCCTAAAGGATTTGCTATATGGAACATCGCCAAAAAATCCATTTTTACAAAAGTATGGCAATCCAATTGGACGTTGCCGCGGACCAATGTCAATAAAAGACATTGCCATTTATGGTCGACAAATTTTGGAAGCACTGCTTTTTCTACATTCCAAAGGAATTCCTTGTGGTAAGTTCATGGTTTGTTATTGAAACGCATAATTGAACATAAATTCATTTTCACACTCTTTTCTTTTTTTCATTTGGTTAATTTATTTTCGCACCGTATTAAGGTCACGTACATGCTGGTAATGTGATAATTGCTGATGGAGTTGCACGTTTGGTTGACATTGAGAATTTCGTTCTTGGCGTTTCATCATTTTATCGTCCGTTTTTCGTACAACACAGCAAAATTAACACATATGAATTGATCGATGTGTATAGCTTTGGACATCTTTTATACGAGCTTACATTCGGTTATCCACTCCAAGAGTCAATCATTCGTCAACCCATTGAATGCACATCGGAAACATTGAGTACGTAATCAACATAAATCGTACACCAATCGATGTACACAAATTCAATCAATTTCAATTAAATTTTGTGTTTATTTTCATTTGTCTCAATTGTGTTGTTGCAGAAGAGCTACTCGAATCGATATTATCGAAAGATGCTTGTAAAGTTGGTTTACCGAGTTTGGAGCGTCTGGTTCAACATCCGTTCTGGCATGAAAACGTACCAAAATTCCACGAGCAATACATGAGCGGAAATGATGCCACCAAACACACACTTAAATTAACCAATAATGCCAAAGAACACATTAAAATTGCTGCACAAAAAACCGAACAACGTCTTCGCGATGAACAAAAATCTGTAAGTGAAAACTGAACACAAGCATTATGGCCTTTAAATTTGATGGTATGTTAATATTAATTGTTAATTATTTTCTTAAAATCAGGTGAAAAATCAAAAAAGGCTAGTCAGAGTTCAAGAACTCATGAGTTCTGAAGAGGAAAAACGGAAAATTAAGCATCAGAAAGCTGTAAGTAGTCGTCATTCTAGTTAATTATTATGTTTTTTGGGTTTTGTTTTTAATTTCGTTTTTGTTTCACATTTGAAATGTTTAGAAAGCCGAGCAAAAACAATCAAAATTGCGACAACAAAATTCATTACAACTAAATTCGGTGCCAAATCCAACACCAACTGTTATGCCACGATCCGACAGTTCCGTGTCCGTAAATACGGGTCAGTAAAAAAAAGAAACAAACTAAAAACCATTGACATATCTGAACACGAAACGTTTTTATGCTTGCTATCATATCAAATGACATTTTCATTTTCTCATACCATTTTGCCGATTTTGTATGGTCATCGATTTTGTATTTCTAACATATTATTTTTAAACTTTTCAAATTGTATGCGTGCGTGCGACCATACACATGCAGGTAATATAAGTAGTACAGTAGCATCAGCTGCATCTACCTCGATGTCGAATGTAACGGAATCGCCAAATCGACAAGAAACCGGTGAAAATCGCTCTGCGCTACTTAACTCAATTTGTAATTTTGATAAATCGGCACTAAGAAAGCTAGCATAAAAATACAAACAATACAAATACAAAACGAAAACATTGATTCGACATAAACATAAATTATTACATATAAAGCTAACACATTGAATGTTATCAACAACTAAAAAGAATCTTAACTGATATGCACGCAAAAAAAACAACAACAAATATTTATTTAATGGAATCACCATAGAGAGATAAATAAAACCAAAATAAAATTTAATCGTGAATATCAATGTGAAATTTTAGAATTTATATACAGATAAAAACTAAAGAAAACTACTAAATTATACAGTCAAATATACAATTCTATATAATACTTAACAAAGAAAAAAAAAACAACAAAATTAACAAAAAAAATCAAAATTCATATATTTAATAATATTAAGACATCAATGTTTTGTGAAGCTCACGATATTTTAGCAAAAACCATCAGAAGAAATGCTTTTTTTTGATATTGCTAAATGGAAATTATGTGCCAAAGCACAAAAAAGATGAAATAAGAACTCGATGAAATTGATTCCGTAGCCATAAATAAATGTGTTAAATGTAAACAAAAGAATACAAATCTATGTTGAGAAAAAAAAATTGAAGAAAACCAAGACCAAAAAAACAAACTAAATGTCTAATTGTGAAATATATTTGTAATAAATGTAACAGTATTAAATGTTAAAACTTGTTGTAATTCATTTTGTGGGGGTAAATCGCGAATTCTTGGCTCTTACGCTTTTAAATCCAATGTGCTTGGACAACGTGTCTACCATGCAGACGAGATGCTCGAATGATTCCTCGATATAAAAAACAAGTAAGAAGAACAAAAATATGATTTCTAGAGAAAAAAGTAAATTACCAAAGTCCTATCATAAGAGATACTATCATCCATAATTGAACTGGTTCGTATTTTGTTACAATATGCAGTATGGATAAAATTTCTTTTATAAAAAAAACTACGAAATAGTAAGTGAAAAGTAGATTTTCGCCAAAACTGAATGAACATTTTTACGAAAGCTATTTTTCAACGGCAACCGGCATCGGACATAATATGTTACGAATACCAATTGGTTGCTCAGATTTTTATCTCGAAAAATGGACGTATGTGATGGATTCAGATAATGATTTGCAACTTTTGAACTTCACAAAATTAAATGAACGCGATACAATCCGTAATGCTGCAATTAAAGAAATGCAACAAATTCGAGGAAACGGTATTGATATTTTATTGTTGGGTGCTTCGTGGTCGCCTCCAATTTGGATGAAACAAAATCATCAATGGTATTGCAAAACTGATAATCAATTGATACCCGCTTACTATCAAATGATGAACTATGACGGTATGAACATTTGGGGTATATCAACTGGTAATGAACCGGAGGCCGATAATCATGCCGATTGGCTGGTAGATAATCTTGTGCCAGCGTTGAAAGAGTCTGGACATTCCGATATTAAAATACATATTTACGATCATAATCGAGACAGTGCTATTTCGTGCTAAATGTGAACATTGGAAAATAAAGCTTATTTATTAGAAGTACTCGAACTTTTATTTTTAGCAAACATTCAATTAAAGTAATATCATAAGTTTTATGTGATGCGTGGTTTAAGTCGCAAGTGTACTCCATTTCGAGCACACGGTGTAATGGGAGTTCGTTTTAATTGCAATGGTATTTCGGTTTTCTCATTCGCCTCCAAAGAATAATTCAAAAGTAGATGATAAAAAATGGCTTTTATCTCCATTAAAGCGAAACGGGAACCTAAATGATTAAAAAAATATTTTATACAAATCGTTGACACCAAAAATAGGTCATAAATATTCTACTTTACCAATACAATTGCGCGGTCCAATTCCGAATGGAAGATATGTTCCCGATTTTATACTTCCTTTGTTTTCATCATTAAATCTCTCCGGGTCAAATTTGTCTGGATTTGGATAATACTTTGGATCATGATGAATTCCATAGGTGGTCATAAAAAGTCTGGATCCCTTTTTTATTGTAAATTTCAAATTGTTGCCATCGTCAAATGCGTAATCTTTGACGCATAGGCGATCTGGTTGTGCAAGAGGTGGATATTTTCGTAAAACCTCCGACACAACTTGATCGAAATATTTCAATTTCTGCAATACATCATAATCAACTGGTTTGCCGTTAAGGTTTTTATCCATTTCAGCGATTTCTTCATACAATTCTTGTTGCACGTCTTGATTAATAACCAGTTCATAGGCCATTAATGATAGGATATTTGACGTGGTCTCAAAACCTGCTACGAGAAATATAAAACACTGTGCGACTAATTCATCGTCGTTCCAGGCGATATTCACTGTTGCCTTTCCCACATCAGACTCTTGAACCACTGAAAAATTTTCGGGTGACTCTTTTGCATCTTCAGTGTCATGTTTTAAGCTTCCGTCACGTACTTGCATCATAATATTAATCATATCTGGACGAAATATATTGTTTTTCTGTCGAAATTCCATCGTATCTAAGATGATACTTTTGAATATGGTTGGATTCACAATTCGAATTTTTAATGCCCGCGCTATATTTGGTAACATCAAATGCAACAGCATTTTTGCCACCGCAATTGGATTATTAAAACTTGAAACTTTTTTGGCATTCAAATAAAATTCATTATTTGGTTCGATGAGCGAATTTATTTTTAGGCCAAAAGCGCATGATGCAATCACATCATTGGTATATCGAGTGAATAGATCTTTTGCTTCAACATCAAGTTTTTCATTGCGTTGTTTTGAATGTTTGACAACCTCTTCGACGCATTCGGACACCAGTTTGTACATTTTTCGCATTTTAGTACCAGTGAACGCCGGACTCAAGGTCGCTCTCATCTGGCGCCATTTTTTACCTTTTAACATAATCAGCGAATTTCCCCAGAGCTTGTCACTGTGTTCATCGACCAATGTGGAATGATCTTCGAAATAATCAAAATCTTTGATTGTAAATTGTTTTACCAATTCTGGGTCACGAACGACATACGCAGGACCAGAAATACCAACGATACCGTATATTCTGTAAATTAAATTAAAAATCGAAAATATCCGTTTAAGATTAAACACGAGAAGAACACACAGATTAAACACTCACGATTCATTTGGAAATGCAGTATACGTTCGTTGGGCTGCTTCGGGTGCTGTTAGAATGAAAAATTTTGGTAAACTGCTCAAACTGTACGATAGTGGTCGATATTTTAAATTTCGTTTTTCAAAATGAAATCGATCAACTTTATATAGTTTATATAAAATGCATGAAAACAGCACAGTCGCACAAAACAAAACAATTTCAATCAACATTTTGAATAAAATTAAGAAGAAGAAAAAAACAAGTAGAACAGCTAAGTATAATGACGATGTATATCACTTGAACTGCGTATTAATACTGTGTTGGCTTGTTCTAAACTATAGTGAGATCATGTAAACGTCGAATTGCACTGAACAGAGAATGAGATAGGAGGAAAATGTTGCTGATTAATTTAAAGCGTCGAATTAAATCATGTTTGTGTTGCTGATAAATATAGTTTAAGTGTCTGTTATTGCATAGACACATCGCTGTATTATTATTGCACAATACGAATCAAGGCGAAATTCAAACGCTATATATTTTCATGTGTCAGATTTATTGCGTGTTTTGTTGATTTTTATTTTTGTTTTGTTTATTTTAAATCAGCTTTTGGACTCTGCTCTCAGTAATTATCAATAATTACTATTATTTTGATTAATTTTATTCAAATTTGTATCATTTGTTAACACAAACATGGTTTCTTATTTACTTTCTCTTTATTTTGGCTTATAAAAGGATAAAATACCTCCCATATTGAAATCTAAGATCTTTCCACATTCATTTCAACATTATAATTTTTACATCTTATGGAACCATACTTTGGACTAAACACAGTCAATATTCTTTGAAATTTGCAAGACTTCCAACCAGACAATATATTTAGCTGCCGTTATCTGGATATTTCAGCTCATCTGGATACCGTCAGCAGATGATGCGAAGTGAAAACAATAGTTATAGTAGTACCAGTATTTAACAAGCTTATATACATATAACAATCTTTTCTATTGTTTTCACTTCGTATCATCTGCTGACGATATCCAGATGGGCTGTAATATCCAGATGACGACAGCTAAATATATTGTCTGCTGCCAACAAATCGTGGCTATATACTATACAGTAAAATTAAAAACGACTACATTACCCCTGTTCGCTTTCAACAAAATTTAAAACTTTATTTGAAAACAAATTGTTTTTCATCGGACCCTTCATTAGGTACTAATGTAATTTAATATTTTCAAAAAAGAAAAACATTAAAAATGCTTCAATTTTATAGCTGACATTGCCGTTACGATAGAATTTGTTTGATAGAAAACTTGAATTAAGTGTGCGGTTAATTTCACTCACGTATTTCGTGAGTATATTTTTCTTTAATCTTTCTTATACTAACCATGTAGTTTTCAAGAATTGCATAGAGATGATCGCGTCTAACTTGGCATTCAGCATCGGTAATTCCCATGGGGCCGAGACTTGACCGAAGAAACTGGTAAAACAATTGAAATTCAAAATATACCTATCAATATGATAAAAATTAAAAAAAGCACTCACATTATAGCCTTCTATGTCGCTATTCAATCTTTTGTCCAAATCTTCTATCTCGTCTGGCTTTGCCGAAATCCAGATTCGATTTTGAATTAAAATCATCACCACAATGTTAGCTATTTGCATTCCTTCCGATATTTGTTTGATTGCAGGCGTAGAACTTTTATCAATGCAGCCTTTAGAGAAAGATGCATTTCGAATGAGATAATTCGATCTCAATGGTTATTTAAAACTTACTTTTTAAAAGATCCAATGGAATAGATAACGATCTAACAACTTTATCAATATGTTCGCAAAGTTTTTCTAAATCTTCGTTCTCAGAATCGAAGTCTTCGTATCTAATGATGAACTTAATAAAAAAAGTAATAAATTAATAGACAATCTGATTAGAAATATCAAACTATTTACCTCCACTTCAGAGAACATATCAAGTTCAGATTTTGAGTTAAATTTTGTTTCCAAATTGGCCAATTTTGTTCTTTGTTCGTCGATTTTCGTCCGTGCGTCATTATTACAGGACTGTACATCCTTCACTAAATCTTCCAAATACGTTCTGAATGAAATCATTGAAAAATTATTATTTTTTAAATTAAATAAAAATTCAAATATACGTACTTGGTTTTTTCATCGATAAGTCCTTGATAATCGTTGATATTATGTTCCAGAATTACGTTAATACGATCATCATAAAATCCATAAACAAGGGAATCCATCAAATTTAATTGGTTTCTCGCTGATTCAAACAAATTTTTTCTATTTTCAACTAAAAACATTTTTATTAGATTTTCAGTATTGCCTGACTGTGAGGCGCAAACAATTATTGCCAACGAAAGAATTAGTACGAATTTCATTTTGACAATGTTTCCTTTTGATTTTAGGGTTTTTCTTTATCTTGTTAATACTTCAAGCGATCAAATTCAACTGTCTCCGTCCAAAGTTATTTAATTTCATATGAATGCTGGAAAGTGTTTATGTTTTTTTTTTATTTACACAACCGTCCAAAGGGGTTTGGGTTCACTTCTGTTTACTAAACAGTGTTTAGTCATCAAACTATACAATTTCAATAACCAAAAACAAAAATCGGAATATATACAATACATAAAAAAATGGCAATGTTCACATTCAGCGTACATTAAATCTAGATAGCAAAGTAGTTTACAAGCAATGATGTTCAATTCAACTAGGTATATTGAGAATGACTCATTCAAAAACAAGTCACATCATTAATGATTCATTTGTGAAGATTTTCGGTATGATTGTCATAATATTTTATAAACATATGCATATTTTATACTCGTAGCCGACAAATCAAGCCACAAATGCAATTTGATATTTACAGAAAAGAACCAATAAAAATGCTCCAGTTTCATAGCTGATATTGCAGTTACGAAAAAACTGATAAAATTTATTTGTCCAGTATTAATGATTCAACGATATTGTATGAAATGAAAAAAAAGTGTACATGTACGTGTATAGTAATTTCTCTAATAGTAGTATTTTTAATATTGTTTAAGGCATTTATGTAAATGTTCATTTTTGTAATTAAATCATCTCGTCTAACTTGACATTCAACATCAATAATTGTCATCGACTCCAAAATTTGCAGCAAAAACTAGCAAAAGAATTTCTATTAATTTACAATTTTTCGCATTATAATTTAATGAAAAAAACACTTACATTAGAACTTTCTATGTCACGTTTCATATTTCTCTCTAAATCTGACATCTCTTCCGGCTCTGCGTAATAAAACAATTTATTTTCAAATAAATCATTCGCCTCAGCGGTAGCATTTTGTATACCTTCGGACATATGTTTGATTAGAGGTGTCTCTTATCATTACAGCCTAAAGAGAAAGACGTATTTCAATTGAGATATTAATTTGGCCAAAGTCCATCTCAATGTTTATTTAAAACTTACTTTTTAATAGGTTCAATGGGACAATTAACGATCTAATGAGTTTTTCAATATGTTCGCGAAGTTTTGAGAAACCTTCGATTTCAGAATTGTAGTCTTGGATTCTATCGATGATCTTAGTTATAAAAATGATAAATTAATAGACAATGGATTTAAAAATATGAAACTATTTACCGTCATTTCAGGGAACTTATCAAGTTGAGTTAATGTAGAAGCAAAAGGTGCCAAAGCAGCGAATTGTATTCTTTGTTGACTGATTTTTCTTCGTGCGTCATTATTACATAAGTGAACTTCCTTCATCAAATTTTCTAAGTATGTTCTGAACATTTCATTGAAACATTATTATTTTTTTTAATAAAATATAGAAAGTTAAATATACGTACTTTTGTTTTTCATCGATAAGTCCTTGATAATCGAAGATATTATGTTCCCGAATTACTTTAATCCGATCATCATAAAATCCATAAACAATGGAATCCATCGTATTTAAAAAATTATCTGAATTGAAAAATTTTGTTTTTTCATCATCAAATAAATGTTTTGCTTGAATGGAAACAATTGTTGCAAATAAAAAAATCGCAATGAATTTCATGTTGTAAGAAAATGACAAAACAAGACGGATTCTGTAGCACGAAAACAATTAAATAAAAAAAAACACTTTTTCTTATTTTTCCTTAGTTTTATTTAAATTTTAAAATGACTTAAAACGCTTGAGATCTGAGTAACAACTGTCCCAATTCCAAAAATATCTAATCTCTTTATACAACATTTCTGAATATCGTTTTCCTGAAATTTTCAATTATGTGCCATCATTTTTTCTAGAATTGCGAAGTGATAGATACCGACAATATTTACCAATTTTAGAATATTTCAATGAACAATGTTCATGCAGAGAATATTGGTACAAAACTTTAGTCTTTGATGTTTCGAGATTAGACAAAGATATTCAAAGAACATTTGGCTCAAGTCACCAAATGTTTCAATCATGTGTTTAATGAGACGCTCACATAAAGTGCATCTCTTTTCTTTTCATGTAATTAAATTACAGCAATTCTCTTCAATGTAAGCCATTCTTTTCTTAGTCCATAAGATACACATTAAAAAGGCGAATTTTTTTTATGAGGATGAGACCAGTGTAGATGATTTTGCTAATGAATGTTTAAAAAGTCCAAAATGTATGCTAAGTTAATCCGGTTAACACATTATATTACATCGAGGCAGACAAATTCATATTTCAAGTCGGCAATTTTTCCGAACTAAAGATAATTCCAAACAGCTACCTGAAAAAAGGTTTTATTACTTATTTTATTATATTTTCAAAAGAAGAGAGAGAATCGCTCACAAACCAGCAACACAGCAACACATCTTCATCAACGCATTTACAATTCAGCTATCGCTATTTTCAATATATAGTAAAAAGACCAAAATGATGTAGACATAAAACTATTTTTTGTGATAATTTTGAATTTATTAAATTGTATATTTTTGATGACAAAAATAATTGAATTCTTACAAAACCATACAGTTTTTTAGAATACCGAAAAGTCGACATTCACCTTTTTTTGTGGGAGGTTTTGTTTCGATAGCAACCAAAAACATGTATAGAAAGTAAACGTAACAATAAACTAATCAATTGAAAACTAAATCGCCATAGTTGCGTAGCAAATGGTATGCCGACACTCGGCAACATGTTGTTGTGCGAACAACCGTGGTACGATCGGCCCGTTCGAAATTCGCTTTAACGGTTTCATAATAACGTCCATCGCTCAAAACCATGCATCTCATTTTCAAACATTTCACACGGAATAAATCGATGGCCTTTTGACTTTTGTCCGAAAATCGAAGATTTTCTGGATCCCATCTACATAAAATTGATATAATTATAACAGTTATTAGGGCTAATTGAATTGTAGTAGTTCACCTCAATTCCAAGCGTTCCAAATTCGCACAATTTGATGCGATCGTATCCATCAATTGATCGACATGAATATTAACGCCAATTTTTTCATTTGTTCCCATGACAATGATTCTGAAATAAATATTTAAGTCACATTTGATAACAATCAATATAAATGAGATGCGTTCTCACTTGACATTTGTCAGGATAGGTAAGACGCTCATCCACAGTTGATCGGTGATATGTGGCATTCCCGACAGTACGCAAGCGTGTAATTGTGGTCCATGTCGTTGCAAGAATTTATGAATACCCTCATCTGTCAAATTATCTGATGAATCCAAATCTAAAGCGATGAGACTTTGTGCCGTTTTGCCACTTTCTGACCAAGCTTTCAATACCGAATCGTTAAATCCATTATTTTGACCGGCGGCCAAAAATTTCAACGCTGGAATACGAGTTAGAAGATCAATAAGACATTCAGTTGATAAATCCGTTGCGGTGATATCCAATTCTTGTAATGCACACTTTTCCCACTCAACTTGCATCACGTATTCCGACTTGAGACCTATTTCGATCCAAATATACAAATTAAATTTCACAATATAAAAAAAAAACATGCAAATTGTGTTACTTGTTCCATTCATTAGGAGGCACATTAGACGCTTAGAACGTTGAATTAACATTTTAAGTGTTGATCCAGTCACTTTGTTACAGTAGTTCACCGCCAAGCATTCCAGCTAGATGAAATTAAGTGTAAAATATGTATTCGAAAACAAAATCGAATTCATTGTGATTTATACCTGAATGCAGTTTGAGCTGAAAGCATCGATGTGTGAATCATCAATGAAATTTATGCCAAATAGATTGATGACACGGAGATTTGGTGTGGCTGATTTCAATTTGTGTACATTTATGACTTCGTAGATTTCCTCTTCTTCTTCTTCGACTTTTTCATAAGTGCCAATCAAATGGAGTACCTGTTGCAAAATGCAAAAATGTTGACTTCATTACCAAATAAAAAGCATATATCTACAGGGTGGGGCATATAATAGGCTCACTCTTAGGGGGTGGGAATTT